AAAAAGAAGTGAAAAAACTTTCAGCAGCATAGTGTAATGCATCTATCTTTATTCCACTCAAAATAAGCAACTGAAACTTAGAAAATGTGTGAAACAGCACAGCACAGCACAGGTCAAATACAAAAGAATAGGTGACACAAATAGAAATTTTGATTTTAGCTGATTTATAATATAAGATAAAATAGAACAGTTGATTTTAGCTGGTCTATAATATAGAAATTCTGATTTTAGCTAATCTATAATATAGGAATTATCATTTGGTACTGTAATTTTTTTGTATTTGACTAGTGTAATAGATATACAGTATCTTATTGTAATTGAAAAAGAGAAACAAAAAAAATTTTACATGTAGTATTTCTAATGAATTGACTTTCAATTAAATAAATCAGAATTTCATTTGAAATTTAATATATGGGTTACAACCTACCAGTATTTAAAATTCAAGGAACAATACATTAAATATTTTTTAAAATAACAGTTTTTGTGATCAACTCTAATTAACCTTCAAGTTTAAAAATTATTGATCTTAATCCAATTCATATTAGTATTTCAAATCAAATTACATAGATCAACTCAGGTTGATCTGACCTGTTAGGAGCACTACTTTAAATATTCTAAGTGAAATACAATATATGTTTTTAGTAGAGTATTATATATAATTTTTTTCAATGTTCTCTTAAATTAAGTCCAATACAAAAAAATTTATATTTATTAAAAAAATAATATATTTAAAATTTGTATTTTTTCATAATTACAGTAATGTAATAGAAAATATAAAGGAAAGAAATAAATAGTTTTTTTTAGTTATATGAAAACTTAAATTTTTTTTTTTGTAATTGAAATTTAATAAATTTTAAATAAAAATAAAAAGAAAAAAATATTGTATAATTTATAAAATGATATTATAATGAATGAAATATTATTTTTATATACAGTAAACCTCTCTACAATCACCTCCTGTATAATCATATTATATAAATTTTACTTATAAGTATATCTTATATAATGACCAATACTTAGTAATACTATATAAAAATTTCTCTATATAGTTATAATCATATCTTTTATTTTTAGTTTCTATAATATCAAGAGTAGTAGTAATATCCACAAATAAATTTATCTGTTACAGGTACAGATACAATTTAATAAATTTGTACAAATTAATACATAACAAATGAAATATGATTATAATACATTGACAAATGACCTTTAAAAAATATAATCACATGTATAAATTTCTACTTTGTAATACATATTATTTAATATACACCATATATTAGCTTACACAGATATCCATTTATATCTATTTATATCTATTAAAATACATAGTAATTTTATTCACTATTACTAATAGACCTTTTGAATTAATTTTATTTTTCAAAAGGTAAGTTACAACTAGTAACTTGTAAACAAGAAGAAATGTATTTACAAATTTGTAAATATAAACTTAACTAAAATTAAATGGATAAGAAATAATTTAACTATAAAACTAATAATAAAGAACTTAGGATTTGTATGAGTAATTATTTACTATATTAAAATAGCTATTAAATTCAAATAAGCAATTTAAAAAATTAAAGCTAAAAGTTAAAAATATTTATCAAGAAATTACAAGGTATTAATAAAAGTTTATTAATAATAATTTATATTCAAAAAATATAAATTAATAAGAACATAATAAAGTTTAAGTAAAAAAAAAATATATACAGTATTTATTACAAAATAAATTAATAATTCTATTAATTAAAAATATTATTCAATATTAGAATTAATTACAAATTCAATATAGTGAAATTTTATCTAAATTACAATTTTTAGATCTATTAAAATCTACTTTCGAATGGAAGAAAAATTCATCCTTTTTATAATATTTAACTTGGTCAAAAACTTGATTAGTAACTATGCCAATATCTTTGTCAACAATTATATCAATCAATTGACTATTAACTTTAATAATCAGTTGTTCAATTAGTTGGTCACTAAATTAGCCATTAATTTTGTTATTATGTATAGGTCAAATATAAAAGATATCCTATACCAAAAAAGAATTTCAATTTTAGCTAATTTATAATATAGAATATAATAAGACAGTTGATTTTACTGATTTTTAGCTAATCTATAGTAAAGGAATTATTATTTGATATAGTGATTCTTTTGTATTTGACTAGTGATGATCTATA